GAATTTTTCCTTTAGATACGTGCCTGCCTGTTCAAATATCCAAACATTAACATTGTTTTCCAAAAGTCTTTTTAATCCGATTTTAAAGGCTTTAGCCTAAAGTCACACTTGTTCCCGGCTGCACATGCTCTATTTTGCACTATGGCCCGGGGAATCAAACTGTCCATCTCCAAAAAATTGAGCAGCACTATTCCCAACTTCTTACAACGTTTTGCTGAATTGATATGAAATAGTGGCATATTTTGGGAAATAAAACTTTTGTTTGGTTTTCACAATGTGTTGTTTTGCATATTCCGTATATGCACTTAACCTGAACAGGGATTCAGCTTTTAGAAAAAAAAAGAACCCATACACAAAACTCCAGCAGTAAGGAGGAGATTTCCTTCAGACATTCTACCCATTAGAGGTTGACTCTGCCATAAATTAACTCTATGGTATGCAGAGCAGTAACCAGTGACAGAAATTACTGTTCCGACAATTGTTTATATTCTGACTACGTAATCCACGCTACGGCTCTATGATCAAAATAGGTCACCTGCAGCAGCTGTGCTCTCAGCAATACGTGTCAACATATATCAAAATGCACTGCGCTCTAAAAACTAACCCTCAATCATAATATACCTTACATAATATACCTTATAAACAACTATATATAGACAGTGTACTCCCTGAAATAAAAGGTTAAAATATAGGGATGCACTAGTACCGATACTGATAATGATACTGGTATCGATGCATCCCTATATTTTAGGGATGGTAGAGGTATCAGTATCAATACTGGGCATTTTCACGAGAACTCGTACTCCTCCTTCCTGCTACTTGCACCTGCCCAAACAGGCAAGGGGAGACCCAGCACAGCCATGGTGAGACTGCACGCTCCTGCAAAGCCCTGCTGAGACATGCACGCAGCCCGTGTGACACCACACCGCCCACACAGCCCTGCTGAGACCCACCCGCACAGCCCTGCTGAGACGTGTATGCAGCCCTGGTGACACTGTACAGCCATGGTGACACCGCACAGCCATACTGAGACCCGCACACAGCCCTGGTGACACAGCAAAGCCATGGTGAGACCCACCCACAGTCCTGGTGACACCGCACAGCCATACTGAGACCCAGATGCAGCCATGGTGAGACCCTGGTGACACTGCACAGCCACACAGACCCGTACGCAGCCCTGCTGACACAGCACAGCCATGCTGAGACCCGTACATAGCCCCGGTGACACCGCACAGCTATGGTGAGGCGGCACACAGTCCTGGTGACACCGCACAGCCAAGCTGAGACACGCGGCCCTAGTGACATTGCACGGCCACGCTGAGACACGCATGCAGCCCTGGTGGCACCGCACGGTCATGCTGAGACTCACACACAGCCCTGGTAACAACTTCTCTCAATTGCTTTGTTTATATATTTCTGTTCAGTCTTGATCATGTCAGAAATCTGAACTTTCCTCTGTCCTGTGCACTCTTCAGCCACAATACACCTCCCGTATGTTATAGGGATAAGGAAAGGGTTAAGTGTTTTGTAGATTAGTAAAAATAGAGCTGGACAGGACTGATAACATTCCTTGCTAATTCAGTCCATCAAAAGGCACTGTGTTGTCAGCCCACACCAGGAGCTGAGTGCATGCCATGGTAAACAGGTATTTTTCTGTCCTTGCATTGTCTTCAAAGGAATGGGAATATGTACATGAACTGCAGAGATGTACTGCATATATTTTATGTGTATATAATGCCTTTGTTCATATTATGTGTAGTTTTGTGTACTCTTCAGCTTTTCTATCTGCCAGTATACCCAAAAAAGGAACCTGGTTTTGCAAAAAGCTTATATTTATTTATTACAGGTATTTCTATAGCGCCGATAATTTAAGCAGCGCTTTGCATAGGTACATTCACATCAGTCCCTGCACTCAAGGAGCTTACAATCTAAAGGTGCCCATACACTGTACGATTCTCGTACGAGAATCGCGGAAAAATCCCGCGATCGTACGATAATCGTACAGTGTATGGAAGGCGTGCAACCGTTTCTAATGTACGGTCGCACGTCTTCCGTCAAACAAGCAGGCTTTAAAACCTCCGAGAATCGTATCTCAAGTGACCTATTAAATACCGGGCCATTTATCCCGCATGCCCCCCTCCCCTTTCCCCCCTTATACTTTTTTTTTTTTTCTCTTTGCCCTCTGTCTTTCTT